AAAAGGGGGTGGGGCCCCCGCGCCAGCCTGTATCCTGTACTGGGAAGTGGTGGCTGCTGAATCCACTCTGTCGGCTGCTCTCCATCTCCAACTGTCTCCGTGCCACTGTAATGACAGCTGGATCCCGGCCCTGGGGACAGCTCCGCAGACTGGGGACACCCTGAGCATGACAGCCAGGGTGCCCACAGCCACCTGCTGTCCTGCAGCACCCAGCACGTGCCAGGCACTTCTGCCGGGGATGCCGACAGTGTGCGGCCTCCCTAATCCCGGCAAATATTTACTTCCCTGTCGCCTCACAGAGCTGCTGAACTCCATCAAGGCAGAGCTCGCCTCCTTCGGCTGCAAACAGCGCCTGCCCTCTCTAATCTGCCTATTAACCTCCCGCGTGGCAGGGAGCCACTTCTCCCACGTGCTCCACTGACGTCTGCTCTGCAAGCTCGGGGTGTTTCATGCCCGGGCCATGGCTGCCATGGAGCTTCCTTCCCCTCCGTGCTGCTGTGCTCCGGCCAGCCCTGCTGCAAGAACCTTGCAAAAGTGCAAGCAGAAGGAAAAGCCCAGCCAGGATTGGAGCCGCTTGCAAACCGTGCAATGCTTGCAGAGCACAGGCAGGTGGCAAAATTGTGTTGCAAGGTCAGCATTTCCACAGGCACAGACTTCGGGCAGGAATCGCGGTGGCTTTCCCCTCATCCTGCACTTTGCACCCATTTGCTCTCCCTCTCCCTGGCTCCTTGGATTTGGCTCCTGCTTAGCACAACTGCTGGCCCTCGAGGAATAAAGCAGCCCTGGATGCACCGGCACAAGGACGGACTTTTTTCTCTCCTCCTCCCTAAAGTCCACTTGTCTTTGTACCCTGTGTCCTGCTGTGCAGAGAAAAAGTGTAACCAATCCATTTTAGAAACTCCTAAAAAATGATTTACAATAGCTTTTCCTAGCCCTGCTAGGTCACGAGATAATGGACATTAAAATTGTGGCATTTTTATATATAGAAAAGTTATTTTAGGTCATTTTTAGAGGTTTCTGAAATGGATCAGTAATAATTTTCCTCTCCTGCTGGGGGCTGAGCACACTAAAGACATCTCGCTCCACAGGTGGAGGGATACAAAAAAATAGTGCCAATAAAAGTTTTAAGAGGCCTCTAAAACACTTCTGTAGGAGGTATTTCTTCTGTTTTGCTCGGGGCACATTCAGTCCACGGGCTGATGAGGGATATGGATCTCACAGCGTGTTCACAGGATGGCCTGCATAACTCGTCATCCTGACCCGTGCCAAAAAAGCCCCCTGAGCCCATGTCAGCATCAGGCGCTCGCTCCAGCACTGCAGGCGCTCTATGCCCTGCACCTTTGCAAGGCTGTGAGCACGTGCCCCTGGCTGGAACACCAAAAGGTGTTGCAGGTGCTGTAGGGCATAGCGGGGACAGTCCTCGGGCTGAAGTCCGGCCCTGAGTGCTCGGATGCAGAGCACACCTGCACGGTGATGTTGCTGCTCTGTGCAGAAGCAGCACACCGAGCACATCTGCACGCACATCCTCGCAGGCCCTTCTGCTATGCGCACACGCCACTGTCCCTGTCCTCTGCTTTAACATCAGCTGCAAACACAATGTATTATTTATCTAATGCAGCTTTCCTAAAATTGCCTTTGTACAACAGGCTGGTAGGAAACAACAACAACAACAACAACAAAACCCTATGAATAAATCATATTTCCATTGCCTGGCAGATAAGAAGAGCATCTGTCCACCTAATCGTGCCTTCTGCTTGGAAACTACCACACTGGCAGCAGGAAGACTCTGGCCAAGGACAGTCCCTGGTGCAGCCCAAATGTTGGGATGCAGCTGTGCAGAGCTGGAGACATGGAAGAAAGTGAAGTACAGGAGGGAAGGTGATGCTGTTTAGCATTTCTGCAAGCACATGGGCTGCACTCTGGGAACTTCAGTGTTTGCAACTGCTACTTTTTCAAAAGGATTTTGCA